ATGGTGGTAGACAAGAAAAAAATGGACTATTGAGTGTGCAGTTTCCAACAATTACTGAACAGCTGCATCACAGCTGGTTTCCCTCCTGCTGCGAACATTTCTACTCTGAAGTATAGGGAGTTAAAAAGGCCATAAAATTTCTTTCTCCTGTGCAGGAGCTAAAATGAAAACGGGCTGCATTTGGAAATTGTGTTATGAAAACGGTTCCTACAAACCTAAATGATTTCATTTCATTCCCTGTAGAACAGATCACCATGACATAAATACTCTTGCTCAAGGGAGCCGGCAGACATACAGTATTTGTGAGTAACTGAAATTTACACAAGGCTAAATGTCACAAACCACAAGCACACAGCCTTATTCCCTGGGGACATTTGTAAAATTAACAAATGCTGAATTCATTTGTATAATGACTGTGGACTAAAGCTCTAAATGCTTGTGGTTACACACTCTGTGYTGTGAAGAATTACTAGTTATCGGGTCGCTGCATGATTTCCAAACTTATAATAATGTATTATTAGTTCTTTGCGAGTCATAAGAAAGACGGAGCGTCTGCTTGTGATGAAGAGCTTTTTGAGAACAAAACTGCTCCCAGTTCCGCAAAAGCACCAGACAGCTTCGACTACAGCACCTTGATGTGTGTTTTGGCCTTGTTGAGCAGTCCCAGTGTGGTGTGCCGACTGCAGTTTGGTCCCAGAGGGATGAGTGACTTCAACCTCTCCAAACACAGGCGGAGATGTGCTCGCCTGTGGGAGGACACGTAGTCAGGCTCATTTCTCTTCAGAGACAGAATAAAGCAAGTACAGTACATCAAAAAACAAGCTTAAAATGTCAAATAAAGAGTTATTTACAACCCCAGTGAGAAGTTGGGATGTTATGTAAAGTGTAAATAAAGGCTTTTATTTGCAAATCTTATAAACACAACTATGTAACGGTAAGTTGTGTGGATAAGAAAAAACTGGAGTAGCATTTTGCCATTAATTAAGGTAAYTGTCAACAGGTCAGTAAGAGGACTGAGTATAAAAAGAGCACTTTAGAGAGGCTGAAGCTTGTAGAAGTAAAGATGGGAAGAGTTTCACCAGACGTATCTGAAAATAGTGGAACTACTGTGTACAGATTTTAGAACATGTGTTTCCATCCAGACTTCTTGTCAGGGAAGGCCTTGCACATTTCAGCAAAACAATGCTTAAGACTTATTGTTATACAATAACGTTTTGTATGTATGTAGTTGCAGAATCCAACAAAAACTCTAAAGCCAGACTGAATATATTCTATTGTCAAAAGGCTTTCACAGTTCTTTCATAAAATGAAGTAAATTATGTCAAACCATAATGTCCTTTCTGCACCAGCATTTTGTGACTAAACTTCCCGTTTCAAAAGGTCCTCTCACTTCTTACTCATCTCATGAAGAAAGATTATTCACGAGCACAGCTGGACAGTTATGTTTTAAACGACRTTCGTTTGCTGATAACGCAGGTGCCGCCTCGTCTCAGAAAAGCAAAAGCAAGCTGCTATTAGGTCTGAAAGCTGCGACTTTCAGGAAGAAGCCCTTGTTGTCTGGAAACAGACGATTCCCGTTTGCTGACTGGGGAAATGTTTGCATGTCCTCCAGGAACAGAGCCGCTGCCACAGAGGCTGCATTTATTTGCCTTGCAAAATGCACACGTCTTTCCTGCACAATATACAGCATATTTACAGTATATATACAGTATAGTACGTATATACAGTATATCTTTA